GATGGATGGATGGATGGATTGTTTATTGTTTGTGCCTCCAAAGATTAAAGCATTTTCTTTGTCCCAGGTTTTGGCATATGCCTGGTGAAAAAGCAGTGAAGAGCAGCGAGTCTGGCTGAGCACAGCCAGCAAAGATGGGAGCCAACACCAGTCAGGTCAGTGACCTGTCCGATAATCCCAGCCTCAAGGCCCTGGTGGGCACAGAGTCCATATCGGAGAATGACCCTTTCTGGAACCAGCTCATCTCCTTCACCTTCATCAGTCCCACCAGCAGGTAAAAAGGAACACGGTGTTAAGGCACACACACCTGAAATTCAATACACCTGTCAGCCATCACATTAAAACCGCAAACAGTCATTGCAGTGTTCTGCTTTGTCTCCAAGCATTTATGTTACTTTAAAAAGACCACTCACATTAACATTGTTGCAAACCAATTACACCCATCCATGGCAACTACAATCCCCGATGACATCCTACCCTACTAGCACATTAGTCCCATCAGACATATCTAGGATGTTCCATAGCCAGCCCAATAAACAATTGCCCCACCTCGCAACACAATGTGGTGTGGGGAGGTGTCCACATAACTTTTACTTGGCATCACTCTGCTCGTTTCAATTACTTAATTAGTAATTTATTAGCTAAGTCAAATAATTGAGGCTATGACATCTAAACACCACTTTACTGTACTTTATAACTTTTATACACAATGTGATGCTTTAAATCACTCAGATGAAACCTTCACCAACAAAACGAGCAGTAAGTCAGGAAGGCAAACAGAGTGGAGGAAAAATTCATATTGACACAAGTGAATTTTCCTGGGTTGCAGCCCTTAGATACACTGATGTTTTTAATAATGGTTTGTTCCCTCCACCACAAGGGAACAAAGCCTTCTAGTTAGAAAGTCCTTTTAAGATTTACACCCGGGATTTAAGATTAAACTGTAAACCGGAGGTTTGCAGAGATCACCTGAGCAACGATCTAACAGGGCTGCTGATCTGCTTGGCTGTGATCAGACCAGTTAACCGTTAACGTTTAGTTCCTTTGTAAACAGCACTGAGAAGGAAAGGCACCTTGTTCTCGCTTTCAGGTGGACCATGACTGGTTGACTGATGTTACATATTAATCTACTAATATTGTGATGTTTTCCATTCATAAAATAAATATAGCTACAGTATCTACCAAGTAACAGAAACAAAAGGCACATGTAACATTTTGCATTCATACTTAGTGTTTGTCTAAAATAAGACTGAGAAATAGTGTTGTCTGTATTAAGGGAAAAAGTTGAGCCCTGTCCAAGTATACAGCAGTTTGCTGCTGTCAGTGGGGGTCGGTCATGAGTAATCATCACTTCAAGTCGTCCGTTTGAACATTGAAATTTCTGGTGTTAGTTTCTTCCTGCGTGTATTTGCCCTTACACTCTAATTGCTGCTCAATAAGATAAACACAAATAGCTAAAATATCAGGTTGCTGCTATATTGAATCAAACTACTGAATGGTAATTTATAATAACTAGTGCTCTTGGAGTGCTGTGTCTGCTACAGAAGGACATACAGAGATTTCTTAACAAATTTTGTTGTATGAAATTTTAAGAAACCTCATGTTCACCCTTTAATGATGAAAGTCATGTGAACCCATTGAGCACTTGCAGGTTCAGAAAGTGGAACATTGTTGCTTTTTCTAATGGTTTGGTTACATATGTAGCACTTTCATGCAGCGTTTTATGCGTGTCATTCTTCTCCAGTATTGCAACAGTGGGTTTGGCTGTCCCTAATGGCTCTACTTCTGTTATTTGTTCAAAGGCTTATAACCCTGTAGTTGTGTAAGGCACTTGGCCTTTAAACAAAAAGAAATAAATCTTTAATTATTTAAAACGCAAAAAGTCACATGGTGAGACGTGATCAAACAAGAGACCTTCAAACTGATTGTTTGTGGACACACATCTTTTTGCACAATTTCCTCTTGTTCTGAAAGTTGAATGATGGCCAGTGTCACTGTCTTTGTGCCATGATAAATAAGTAGTTGAAGCCAGCAGCTAGCTAAAATAGCACAGAAACAGGAAATGGTGTAAAGTAAAATTAGGTGTAGGTCAGGATAAGTGTTTGCTGTTGTCATGGTTACATTTAAGGGTAATAGTATGGGGTATTTGTTAATGTAAAAGATGGTCAAGTCTGGCACCACACTTAATCAGGTTCCCACCAACTCTAAAGCCGCTCACAGGAATGGTTGTCAATACAGCAGAAGAACAGACAGAGATTTCTCAAAGTATTAGGAAGATAAACCACTAATGATTTAATTACTAATAATCTGAGAAAACTCTGCCTCTTCTTCTGTTCTTCACCTGTATTGACAACTGTTTATCTGAGTGAAAGGGAAGCGCCTGCACGTTAAACTCAGCAGCTGCGCACACCAAAAAAGCCATCGTGCACACAAGAGTGTCTGCTTTGGACGTGCTGCTACGTGCTGCTACAGTTTTACAGTCTCGTGGGTAGCTCTCTGCTACTTACTATACTTTCACTGTCTGAAGGCAGAGCCGAAAGGAGGATGGGGGTCCTGGGGTCCTGTGACTTGGACTCTTCAGTTTACTGGGTTACACTGAGTGACGGAACGATGTTTTAAACTTTATTTTTCAAATTGTAAACAAATAAAGTTGTCAAATTAATCATCAACAGTCACTGTTTGCTGTGCAGCAGTGAAAATACAGACAACTGTCCCGGTAATGTTAAAGAAATATTTTAAACCAGAGAATTCTAAGGCAAGTTCTGAAGCCTCTGCACTGCTGTCCCATTAATCTGTTGTACAGTATCGTCTATGATTTAAAAAATTAAAAACAAAAATGTCATACAATGATCAGGAAAGGAATTTTGCATCAGAATCTGGCAATTGTAAGTTTGGCCAAAATACAAACATTTAAACCTGTCAACAAAAGGTTGTTCTGTCTGCAGCAAACAGGTGTAACTGCACATACGTGACTAGATGGGAGTGCTTCAAACATGGCCTGGAATTCTACAGTGTTTAAGTACAGAGGAGAAATGACTCTTTAATATTGTTTTTGCTAGTCTCTTTATGAACTTTAGGATTTAAACAAACAAATATATAAACTTACCAAACAAAACTTAAAATGATTTCTAGAACATTGTGACAACAGAAAGCAGATGCTCAATCATCCAGGTAAGTAAATCCCAAAAAGTTGATTCTGTTCATCTGGACGTAGCGTTTTTAGTGGGAGAAACATTTGATCAGTGCTTTGATCAGTAGTTGTTGATCAATGGTCATGAGAATTTGCATACTAATGATCAAGGAACTCACCTCCCAGCCCATTGTTCATTCAGTGGTGCTGGTTTCAGGCATTATGCAAATGTACTGTTTATAAGATTGGGGAAACCTGCAGTCAGCTGAGACTGAAGAAGTCACTTGGATGAGTGACGAAACGTTTCTCCCACTGAAAACGCAACATCCAGATGAACAGAATCAACCGTTTGGGATACAACAGACATGACTAAAGTTAATCACGTGGTTAGCAGCACAGAGATAACCACAATGCATAAAAAAATTAGACACCTTGCAAATAGCGGTTACAAGCATGCTGTGTAATATAGTTATAAGAGCCTTTAGATTTCCACAGCATCATAGCAACAACCTGAACTGTTTGTTAGACACTAGTTCAGACAAATGAGCTACCTACCAACAACAGCCTGTCACATCTTACTCTCCTATCCACCCCACAGACTGTCTGTTCAAAGAACCTGAAATATTATCTGGATGAACTATTACAGTGGAGCCCTGTAGCCAGATGTGTACAACTGGTAGCAACAATAAACTATTTTATATTTGTTCACATTTTATAAAACAATTTGATCTTTTTCTTAGAAATTATGTGTGCCTCTCGTTATGATGATTTTTTTTTTTTTTAAATGATAGAAGCTATGTAAGATCAGGAAAGCGTTCTTATTTTTCATATTGTAAACAAATACAGTGTTTCTTTCGGTTCTACATCGTAACTCAGTTTAACACAGTAACCTGAAGTGTCCATCAAAGTGACCAATCACATTAGAGCCCCGTTCTCTGTAGGTTCTGCCTCCAAACAAGTAAGTTTATTCGCGCGAGGAGGATTTCTCTCCAAGCACAGAGCTACTGTGAGAATGTAAAGCTGTAGCAGTGCATGGAGGTTTTCATTGGTAGTGACCTGGATGGACAGGGTTGGAGATGAGTATAACAGAGGGACAGCGCAGGTTGAGCATTTTGTAAACAAAATCAGAGAGGGAAGTTAAGTTTTGTAGGTTTGGACATGTGCAGAGGACAGAGAGTGGACATCTTTGGCAAAGGATGCTGAATATAGAGCTGCCAGGCAGGAGGAAAAGAGGAAGATCACAGAGGAGGTTCATGGATGTGGAGAAGGACATGCAGAGGAGGGTGTTTGGGTTAGGTCAGATGGAAGCAGGATGATCCACTCTGGTGACCCCCAATGGGAGCATCCAAAAGAACAAGAAGATGAGCGACCAGTGCCTTTAACTAAACCATGATTTATAACTGAGTCATGCTCTGTATCTTTGCATGTTGAATGTATTATTCAGACATTTGTTTAATTTTGTTCTTTTTGTCCCGGTTGACTTGCATCTTATTGTTGTGTAGTACCTTGAGTTTCCAGCAGAGGGAAGGTTACTCAAGCAGTCAGCTCCTTCTGTCCATTTTAACCTGACATGTTCTCTTCTGTTTTTTTTTTGTTTCACAGTGGAGACTCTAAGTTACTGGAAGAAGCTGTCATACCCCTGGCCAAGATCCTCAGTATGTTAGCTACTACATAAATAATTTCACATAATACGTGTTTATGGAAGAATATGTCTGAGTAGTCCCAAAGAAAACTGACTTCTCAAGAGTTTGAATTTTAATCATAACATTTAAGTTACTGAATGCTAAATTATCATATTTTGAGGTTTCTGTAGTTTATGTAAAGCTTTTAATAATAAAGTTTTGTCCATCCCCCCCCCCAAGTTGAAAACAATCCGAGAACCGGGAACTTTGGCGCTCTGGTGAGAATTTTCCTGGGAAGAACCAAAGAGCTGAAAATCTCTACAGAATGCCAAGAGTGAGTATGAGAACCTCAGAGGGGAAGTACTGACTGTCAGTGATGGATTCAGTGCAGGCCACTTATTGTTTGAGAGAGAGAGAGAGGAACGCTGAAGTAGTTGCACTTTCCCATGAGAAAAACTGCAGAGGTATAACTATCAACATACGTATGTGGCAATAATCAGCGCTCACAGCCAAAGCTCCATTTCCACAGAGACCGACTCTGCCCAAGTCACCAAATGTTTTTGGTGGGAACTCTTCCTTCTGTGCTGAGCAGCATTAGAAGTTGGAGTTATTGCTCCTCTTCTCTTTTTCTCACGTTTCATAGCAGGTCTGTCCCACAAATCCACATTTTCTTGGTGTGACATAATTGGTGTGTGCAAATAGTTAATTGCAGAGACTGACATACACCTCAGCATTGGTCTTTAGTGGTTGTGAAACTTGGCTTGCAGTGGGTGGTTTCTTTCGTGTTTGTTTCTCAAACTTATGCAGTTTTGGGGAGTTACTAGGTACATGTAACCGAATAATTAAATGCAAAATATGTTTAGTTTATTCCTTTTAAAAAGGTTTTAAAAAGGGGATTAAGTATATTGCTTCCTGTTAAGTTACACTTCTTTCTCAAAACCCAGAGCCTTAGGTTGGGCATAGAATCCCTCTTAAATGTGCCACATCACAGATGAAGGGAGACAAAGCAGCTAAAGTTCCTCTAGTTAATTTTCCTTTGTCAAAAAAGAGGTTTTCCCCTACTAGCAGAGCTTTCCAGATGTTGGGCAGACTGTTTTTTCCCCACTTAAGGATCTGCTCATGCTGTAAGGATTGCATTTACATATTTCTAGGGTTTGATAACGGTGTGATCTGGCTGCCTTCAGATGCCTTTGCACATTGTGTGTAGATAACTATCCAGGTAAACATGTCATTTTAATGTCAGCTGTAAATGGCATATCAGAGAAGTTATGGCCTAGTTTTGAGCATAATGCAAAAATTCTTCACCCCCAGCTTCTTTGTGGTCGTGTCACAGTGATAATACTTCAGTCAGAGCTACTTTGCATTTAAGTTTGGATACAATCAATGGATTTTTACCAGATGTTTCAGAATCAGCCCAGAAGTGTCACTGCGCTCCACAGATGTTAAAGTAGTGCCAGGTCTGTTCTTACAGAAGCCACTACAAGCTCTACACGGCACCTGAGGAAAGCAGGAAGCGAAAGATTAGTTTTCAAAAATAAAAGCCCTCACACACATGAAACACTTTTAAAATGTTCAGTGTGTTTAAAGCTGTATAAAAGACAAAACTGTGTCAAAGACTGAGCTTCATCGACATTGCTGGAGTTAGAGTTAATCAAGAAACTCTTAGATTACGAGTTCGCAAAGTTTTTATGCCAATTTAGAGCTTATTTATCACTTTTACTAGTAGCAGATGAGTATAATATTCAGCCATACATACTTTTATTGTTACACCCATAGGCTGTGCAAAGACTTGCTATTGGCTCACTCTCAGTCATCTGAGAGCCCTGATTTTTAGCTGAAAAGCTGCCACTAGTAATTTTTTGTTAAATGAAATGCAAATCCATCTTTTAACCACCCAGAAGCATGCCCATGAGATGTCTTGGTTTCGTTTTTCTCTTCCACAGCCAGCTTTTTATCTGGCAGGCCCACAATGCACTGTTCATGATTCGCTGCCTGCTCAAGGTCTTCATCAGGGAGATGAGTGAAGCTGAGCTGCACCAGCAGTTCTCTTACCAGGAGAGGGCACCAGGATCCTGCGGAGGTGAGCTCCAGTATCTTTTTCACAGGCAGGGCCACAGACTACACAAAAGAGTCAGCTTGAAAAGATTTTGCTAAAAAAAAAAAAAGGTGCTCTCTTAGAATCAGTAGCAATGTTGAAAATTTCTTGAGTTTTTGCACTTGAGTGCACCTTACGCAAAACGTCACGTTATCTCTTAGGAAATCTTCAGCATTCTTTACGTTTTTGGTTTCCAAGTGAGTTCTTGGAAGTGAGTAACAGAGGTTATGGCCTAGTTTTAGATGTCTCATATAATAACTGTCAAATGTACAAGACTTCCTTTCATACTTAAGAGACATTCAGAATTGGATTAAATTGAATGAAGTTGAATTAATTGGTCTTTGCAAAATGGTTTATCCTTCCATCAGTTTCTTGCTGCTTATGTGAGTTCAGGACACACTAATATAATTAATTATGTCATTAGGAATTATCGTGCTAAACTGCTGGAAAATATGATTTAACATTAAACAGTTTTAGACTTTGTTGTTCTACCGGTTTGTCATCATTTGTTCATCTTTTGCAATTATAATCAAGAGGAAAGTATGAAATGGATTCTGTGTGATATCCTTATTAAATAGTACTGTGTTATTTCCTTTGTTTAATGAACATGAAAACACAGAGCGACCTGTGGGAACTAAGGATTGGATTAGTGGCAGATTAGTCGAGCAGAGTTACGACAACTAACCTGATACTGTCTTATATTCAGTGTTTTTCATATATTTACTTTATCAATCCCTTGTGGAGAAACAGGAAGTGAAGACCTTCTTGAGGAGCTGCTGTCCAACCTTGTTCACCTGATCGTTGAAGTGCCGCTGCTGTAAGTCTCTCCCATCTTTTGCGTGAGGAAAAAGGTGAATTAAACACTCTAAAAAGGTCGGGCATGTCAGAGCTATTCTGAAACGGTGAGAAAGATGCTTACAGCCTAAATGTTTGAAAACATTGCCTGAGTGATTGGACTTGTAATAGTCCGTGATCACTTGTTTCCCCCTGTTAATATGAGTAGCATGTTAGTGACTTAGGAGCTAATGAAAAGCAGTTTGTATGTGTTGTTCTGTTTGCGTGCTGCGCTTGCTTATTCTTGTCTTGAGTCACTAACCAAGAGAAGATGAAATCCATTAAGGAACACGGCATACTGACATGCTGGAACTCTGATGTTGGCAACACGGCGATCCGAAAGAGCTAAAATAAGAGAGAAAGTGTTGGTTGTTTGGGGGAAGAGAAAAAGCTTGGAATGAAAGTTTGGGAGCATTTCCAGGGAGTGGGAGTGGAGGGAACATAATGTTTGAAAAATTGTATCAGGCTTTAGTCCCGCTGGGCGGTGTGAACACAAACATCCTCTGTGTTTACTTATCAATAAGTGAATGATTTTTTAAAAAGTACACGCAATATGTTTAGAAAAGCAATCTCCTCGAGCTTTTCAAAATAAATTTGTCGAATCATGATTTACGTCTTCTTGTCACGGCATCTTCCACTTGTTCTGTGCGTCGTTCCGGATACCTTCTCTCACCGTCTGCCTCTATTTTCTCTGCACCTCTTCACCTTTCGCTCTCCTTTTCTTCTCTTGTCTCCAAACATCAAACTGTGGCTCCTGTGTAAATGCATTCAACATTCCAACATTATTCATTGTTCCAAGCTTAAAATCGCTCTCTGTTTTTCTTCCCTTCACCACTTTGTGGCTGTTAGCCCATTTCCCCTCTACGTGCTCCTGGCTTGGATGGGAAACCCACCATTCTTTTAGTTAGCTTCCCCCAAGTCCCAAGCAGACTCCTGTGCCTTTTTTGTGGCTTTGTCTCACGAGTACGAGAGTGGTTATTTTTCCATTCACAGGTATCCAACTAAAACAGTAGCTGATTGGTGACAAAGTACTTTGCAAAGCTAAAAAACAGCACGCAGTAATGGAATTAATTTCAAAACAGAAATTTAAGTAGCCCATAAAACTGGCTTAAAGAGTGCAGTGTGCATGTGCAGACTTCACACAGAGCTTCTAAGTATGTACTGGATTCAAAAGACAATGTTTTGACATGACTGGGCCTTTATCATGCACAATGCACTGTTTCTATGCAAACTGTGAGAGCTGATCTGTCCGGGTGACATAGGCTCCAGCTCCCCTCGGCCCTGAATTGGATATTAGTAGTATGACAGATGTTTACTTAAATTAATTACAGAAATATTATGTAAGAGTAGGTCACGGATTGTAGGTTCTGATTTTTAAATGGCTGAACAGGAACAACCTGAGCTTCTTGTATAATATTACACTACAGTATATACACTGTAGTATACAGGGTGGGCCATTTATATGGATACACCGTAATAACATGGGAATGGTTGGTGATATTAAAGTCCTGTTTGTGGCACATTAGTATATGTGAGGGGGCAAACTCCCCAAGATGGGTGGTGACCATGGTGGCCATTTAGAAGTCGGCCATCTTGGATACACCTTTTGTTTTTTTCAATAGGAAGAGGGCCATGTGACATGCGTTCACCAGATATCAACACGATTTCGATCCGCTCCTCACGTGTTAACCTCTTCGACATGTCAATGGCTGTGAACAAAGAGAAACTTGTAAATAACTCATGAAAGAATAAAGTTACGCTGAAACCAAGCACACCATTGTTTTTCTTGTGACATTACCAATAAGTTCGATGTGTCACATGGCCCTCTTCCTATTGAAAAAACAAAAGTTGTATCCAAGATGGCCGACTTCTAAATGGCCACCATGGTCACCACCCATCTTGAGGAGTTTGCCCCCTCACATATACTAATGTGCCACAAACAGGACTTTAATATCACCAACCATTCACATGTTATTACGGTGTATCCATATAAATGGCCCACCCTGTGTTTCTAACTAACTAAGCAGCTCATTTTCTTTCTTTTGCCAATACTTTCTTTAAAGATACAGCAAATCTTGGGGTCAACGTAAAATAAAGGCAGATGTGAAATGTAAACGTTTGATCAGAGGTCAAATGTGACGTGATATTTGGATGCAAACTGTAATGTGATATTTACAATCCCCATATACCAGTATCATTTCCCAAATGTTGCCAATACAAACAGACAATTTTAAAGATAAAGCTTCAAATGAAAAGTTGACCTTATTCGACCCTGATGAAAAGGTCAGAGGTACAATGTAATGTGATAGTTATAGGTTATCGATACAAACAATGGCAATAAGAAACATAGTTTTAGATGGCTCTATGTAGCATTATTATCACCTTCAGATCAATCTATTGATAGTGAAGGAGAGATCAGAGGTCAAATGTGACATGATAATCTTGATACAGCTATTTCTATATGTTGACAATATATGCCACACTAGTAAAATCATAGTTTCCAAGTTAAAAGTTTTGTCCGTTTTCAGCCAATAAACAATGGAGTTTATTGGCAGAAATCTAACAGGCAAACTAAAACAAATCATTTTTCGTCACTGATTAATAGGAAGAAGGCTGAAAACTGAACTAAGGGCGCGTACATATGAGCATCATTTTATAACTCCGTGACCTGTAGTGTGCTAAGAATTGGCATTTTAGCAAGGTAGGAAATGTACTGTAGAGTCTGGATTTTTTGATATAAATGGATAAACTGTTTACAAAAAAGATGTTTTTAGTCATAAAACGGGTCTGAAAAGAACCATCAAGGCATGATACGTAGTGCTGCCACCTTCAGCTAACTGCAGTGCTCTGTCATCCTTTTATGAAGAGATGTTGACATCAATGCAGCCAAGAGAGCATATCAATCTATTCTGTTTGAAAGCATGCATGAAATGCTTATAGATATTATTTTATGCAGATGTTTAGCTATAAAATTGAGTTTATTTACATGAACTCTTTGTGTTGCATTGTTTTCTTTAGTGACATCACCTATAGCATCCTGTTTGAGGCAGTGACCGTGCTGCTGGTATTCTTCTCCTATCAGCTCTTCCACAAAGACATCCTCAGAGATGGAATTATATACCAGCACATCATGAAGGGACGATGGTGAGGAAACACACTCGCTCACACTCCACTGAAGACTACACTTAACTTGAAGTGCCCATATTAACAGAAAAGGTAGAAATGGAAGTGTTTTGTATGTGATTATGTGCTCACAAGCCACTTTATTAGTTATATCAAACTGGTCCCCCTTTTGGCTTGCTTGACCTGCTTGAATTCTTAGTGGCACAAATTAAATCTGGGTACCCTGTGGTCATAAAAGGATGGACATGGTCAGCAACAATCCTCAGGTAGTCGCAGTGTCTCTAGAAAATCTCCCCAACAGCATTGCACCATCAGTACCTTGAACTGATGATGCAAGGCAGGATGGATCCATCCTTTCATGGTGTTTATACCAAATTCTGACCCTACCATCTGAATGCTGCAAAGTTTTTCTTCTGTTATCCAACAATTTTGCGAAGTCCATGCAACATAACCTGACAGGAGTGACCCCTGGTGTGCTCTTCTGCTGCCCCACCTGCTTCAAGGTTCAGCAGGTTGCATGTTCAGAGATGCTCTTCCACAAAATGTTGCAATTTGAGTTACTGTTGCCTTCTTAAAGCAATTTGGCCATTCCCCTTAAGGTAGGGGTGTCCAACTCCAAGCCTCAAGGGCCGGTTTCCTGCAGGTTTGAGACAGCTGATTTAAAAGGCTAAATGACCTCCTCAACATGTCTTGAAGTTCTCCAGATGCTGGTAATGAACTCATTATTTGATTCAGGTGTGTTGTTCCAGGGTGATAAAACCTGCAGGCACCGGCCCTTGAGGCCTGGAGTTGGACACCCTGCCTTAAGGCATTTTGACCCTGTGAACTGCTGCCAACTGCATATTTGCTCTCTTTTTATACCATCCTCTGTAAACCCTTGAGATAGCAGGTTGATTTAAACATGCCTAAATGAGTTACTGTCACATCATTGGCTGGTTTCAGGACATAGTATATATGTCTGTCTTCCTCCCTTCACCTCCAGCCAGTGGCAGCAGATGACTGCCCCTCCCTGAGCTTGGTTCTGCCAGGGGTTTCTTCCTGTGAAAAGAGAGTTTTTCCTTCCCACTGTCACCTAGTGCTTGCATCTGTTTTGTTTTGTTTTTTCCCTCTAATATTGTAGAGTCGTTACCTCATTATAAAACATCCCTTGCGGTGACTGTGATTTGTGGCTATATGCAAATTAAATTGAATATTTTTAATTAATAAGCAGCTGAATAGGTATATCTATTAAAATAGTCACTGAGTGTATCTACATGACTGCGCAGTGCATGTGCAGAACGCCTACAAAGCAGCCAGTTTGGCAAACCTTAAAATAAACAATGAGCTGCTGCTTCACAGTCTGCCATTTTTGTTCACTTGCTAGAGTGGCTTGTCTGACTCTAAAACGTCTAAGCAATGAGCAAAAACACCAAATGTTCTGTTGTTGGCTGCAGACCTGCACAAGTCTTCAGGCACATCTGAGAAAACGAGACTCAGTGATTTATTTTTGTTTTTGATGATAATTCCACAGAACAACAGGGTGTTTGCATGCAGCATGGCTAATATCGTTCCACTAGCATTGATGCTTGTCACTGTCCAGAGCTATGGGGAACTTATTGTATTGTATCATTGAAGCTTGAAGATCCTGTTTGGGCAGAGGAATAAATGGTTATAATACATGTAATTGTGACAGGGGAAAAATAGTTGCATTGGAATATTTATGCGGTGGTTAACGGCTTGACTTCTGCAGGATTCACAAGGTGTTAGCCAAGAGCCCTCAGACTGCTGTGCCATACTATAAGTTGCAGTCCATAACTAATGTTTATGCCAAATCAGCTGATCAATAGATTGCATTTTTTGGGAGGGGAGCTAAAATGTCTGAACCTGTAAATAAATATAATAGGGTTTTTTGTATTTTTTATAAATACAGCCGCATAATATTTTTGTTTTTCAGTCAAATAATCTACTCACATAAAATTAACCTGTTGGTTGTCCTTGTCCCATTTAACTGATACCAAAAGAAGAAAACAAAACTAATTTAGCCAATCACAGCCACAGCAGTGTGAGAGCGAAACATTAGCCTGTTTATTATAATAAATGTTAATGCAAGCCTGTACATGGAAATGGTTTTCTTGAATGTTATTAAATTTAGATAACTGCTGTATTTTGATGCATTTTGTTTGAGTCCAATAGTTGCAGTTTAGACTAACACAACCAAAGCGAGCACTTTGGCTCAGTGGATTGAAGTGATGAAAGATTTTCAAGTGGCAAAACAGCTTTGAAGGCCATCTAATAAGATTTAGTGTTTCCAGAAAGTAAAGCACAAACAGTGATATTAGATCCACAAGAAATTACAGCTTACGTGTAAAGAAGGGAAAACTGACTAAGATTGATGCCCAACATAGACACGTGTAAATGGAGAGCGGGTTGTTAGACGCGGCTGTAGACACGCACCTGCATGCACATATGTGCGTTTTGCTTTCTGCTGCACTGTGAAGAATATGGCGTGATCAGCGACTAGGAAGGTGCTAAGGCTGACTTTGCAAAAGAGCTGATTTTTTTTCCTCTCTCTCTGGAGAAAATCCTCACAATCTGTTCCTATTCTGTTTCTAAAATTAGCATTTCTTGTCTTTAGCAGGTAAGGAGCACTTTTAAACATGACCAAATAACCCCAGTGCTTTTATTCTCAGAACTTTTGCGGAAGGCTTCACTTATTATATATCTAATAAAGAAAACTAAAGTGCTAAAGATGAGAGTGATTGTCTCCGTGCCTCCTTATATTATTCAAAACCTTTATTGTTCAGCCCTTCAATTATTCACACATGATCTAATTTTAAAGAATTGAAATAAAGCTAAGACCACAACTGTAGGGCTTTATTCTTCATGTGTGCTTTACTTTTAAGGCCTAATCTAAGCAGTGAATATAGAGACAAATGATGAACCCAGTACGAATGCAGCTACTACTCCATACTCTTTGTGATGCAAGAAAAAAGGGAAGATAAAGTCAAATAAAATAACAAGCCCAATTTCCTTTGACTTTTCATATGCGCTGAGGTATAAATGTGCATTTATGTCTCACATTGAGTCCGAATGTCCAGTTTTGTCTTTTTAAAACCGTTATCATCCCTTTTCCACAGCATGTGTTTAACCAGTCGACTGGTGAAGACCCTGCTCTACAACTTCATAAGGCAAGAGAAGTGTCCTCCTCCTTCAACCCACATTTTCGAACCAAAAGCTGAGGGCGGCTTGCTTTATGGCCTGGCGTCAGGGGTGGCAAGTACGAGCACACTCATCAACACACGATAAAAAAAGGGAAAGCTTAATTATTATTGTATTTACTAATCAGATTGCTACCCAGATAAGAAGGCAGATCCCACTTTTTGTGTGTTTATGTTTTTATTGATATATCTTTATTTTTAATTCGTAGTCAAAGTGTGAATATTTAAACAGTTTACTTTGTACATTTCTGTAAAACTTTGGAGCTTTGGTCATTTTCACACCTTTAGTTTGTTTACTTGTAGCTTTTCCCCGTGGTCTGATTTGTTTTCAGATGAATCAAAATGTGTCACTGAAAACTACGTGACAATGTTCAGTCTGCTCACTGGCCGCATGTATCTGTGGTGGGGTGCTGTGTTCTGGACTATTGGAGAACTCAGAGAATTTATGTTCAGTTCACGGCTAGTTGCTAGCCTGCACAGACCTTTGCACATCTATGGTACCTTCCCACACTGAGAATACAAAGGATACGAGGCTATGAGAGGTTTTTTAGCTCTACTGTGTTCACACCTACACAAATGAACCCCACCAAGAGGGGAAAACTAATTACTTTGATTTATACGGACACACTGCAGGTGTGAAAACGCCCTTAGATTACTGTATTATTGCATTAGGGGACTGTGGTGAGCTTTTCAGATGCAGTCACCTGTTTTTTCCTTCCAAATTGTTGCCTAAAATGAAGCAGCGATGTGTCTAGTCACATCCAAAGACTCATATTTTTCCCCGTCTCATTTTGTTTCTCACACATACACACACTGCAAAAAAATTCAAATATAATAATTTCTCAATAACATGCCAAATTGAATTCCCTGGCTGGTTGGGGTTTTCCTGTGTGAATTTAACTGGGTGCCTACTTTTCTGTCTCCATAACAACTCCTTGTGTTCCTCACCCATTTTTGTCTTTTGTTCTAGTGATGTTGCCACTAGCAACACATCAAAATCAAACTGTTGGATTAACACATCCACACGCCGTAAGATTTATACATTACAGTTATGTTGGGGTGTGGGGGATTTTATGAAATATAAACTGACCCGACGCATCTGAGAAATAAAAGTGAGAGCAACGCTGCTGAAATGAATGACAAAAAAATGAGCAGATTTTTGTTGTGTGCATTTTTAGCTGGTAATGTGCACTGTGTGTGCCTGTTTCAGTGTGAGAACAGGGCCGGGTTTCCCCCACGGATAAACGGTCTTTGTCGGTTGTTGGTGGCAGATTCCTATCAGTGAGCCATCACCATTCAAGCCAGCCTGTCTGTCTGTGGCCAGTGATCAGCTCGATGAGTTATGGTGCCCTGTCCTGTTCTGTAATCCTCTAGAGCCTGTCTGTCTGCAGCCGCCTCCCTTATACACACACACGCAGACCAACAAAGACACAAGCCCTCTTATGCTCAGAGCTCAGAAACAACACTTGTTTTCTTTCTCTGTCTCTGTGTCTCGTATGCATGGAGGCATTTGGCACTGACAGAATATACAAGTGGGTGTTATTCTGAAAACGGTAACTATCAGATGACTTTCTTGAACTTCGTTATACTAGCAAACGTTTGGCTAGTTAGGAGAATTAGACCAGTTTCACAACTGAAGGGCAGTTTGCCCCTCGTGGTTTTGGATTGCTCAGCTTGCGAAAACGATTATATAAAGTCATCAGTCGAAAATAACTGATGATATTAAACTAGACTACAACTGTTGAGCCATGCAAAGCTATATTTATGCAAAATAGTGCTCTGAGTTGAATGATGGCATTTATGTTGAGCCGATTTCATTTTATCATCTCAGTCTACTGAACTAAGTAGCACAGAGGACAAAATACAGCTGAGGCAAAGAGCAGTATTATTCATCTGTATTAATGTGGCCGTGTACTAAAGGATGTCACAGAAAGATTTCATGGGTGAGAAGGATACACATGCTTTGTTCCTGTACTTGAGTAGAATCTTTGTCTATCTGCGCTTTACTGGAGCGTTTAGCTTTCTGACCACATTTTACTTTTATTTGTTACATCTGTACTTTCTACTCCTTGCATTTTTGAAACGTGCTCATTACTTTAGGTTTAAGACATTTGAGGAGAGTTATTGTTTCCTGTGAATGAGTGCATTTCCAACAATAAACCAGTTGGAACCTAATAAAGGAAACAATAACACAATCTTATTGATGTATCCATCACTGAGGGTTATTGTAAAGGAAGAGATCATTTATCCTACTCAGGGGGTTAAAGTGACTCCGAACGATCAAAAATGGCGTTTTTGGCGCAGATGTGTGTAAATTGTGGTAATGGTATTTCAGCAAATAGCTAGCACTACAAATGTGGAGAAACATTTTTGAAGTGGAAGGCAATATTTCTAATAGCTCAACAAATATCAGCAAACGCACAAACTGTTTCTGTGCAGTTTTTCCACACAGTGGGTATGCTAGTTAAATTCACAGTTGTTTTATTTCTTAAAGAAAGGAAAGAATGTGTGAGGAGTTCATTTAGAGATGTAACCCCTAAACACACACACACTTTGGTCTGGACTAGTTATGACCAGTGTTGGTCAAGTTACTTGAAAAAAGTAATCAGTAACTAATTACTGATTACTTCCCCCAAAAAGTAATCCGTTACTTTACTGATTACTTATTTTCAAAAGTAATTAATTACTTAGTTACTTAGTTAGTTAGTTACTTTTTAAAAACACGATTTACAACCTGAAGAGGTGATAAAGCGATAGATCTTTCAGCCCAATTCTACTTTTTCTGCATAATCATCATACAAAATGTAATCAAATGGAAAAGTCTCTTTTTTTTAACTTGTTTTATCAGTTTTAATCTTTTAACTTTATGCATCAAGCAAAAATGTAATTATATGCAACCTTCTCTGACTTGAATAAATTAGTTTAAGATTTAAATCTATTTTCTGCACATTCCAGCCCATAAAATAAAATATTTTTAGTGTTTACACTCACTCTTTCAAATAGATGCAAGTAAAACAGCAGGAAATAAATAAAGTCAAAGACTCAGCGGTCCTGTTGCTCTATTTTCACCTGTAAAGCAGGACTGCGGTAGGCGGAGGTTTACCCTGGTGCAGGTGTGCCACGGTCAGTGGAAGAATCCGCGAGTTTCTCTGTGAATTTCCCATTACTTCGTTGTGCTCTCGGTGCTTGCTTGGAAGTTTAGGGGTTTTTTTCGCTGTAAAAAGAAGTTTTCTTCCCACGCACAACGGACGCTAATGTTTTTGTCACTTTTTATGGAATCAAACTCAAAGTAAGGTCAGTACTTCCACGCTTTAAACGCTGCACGCTCATACTCTCTCCCACAATCGATATATGATCCATTGTTGATCTGCAGACAGCTGTTGTCACTAACCGCGCACTCGCTTACGTCACTGTCGTGAGACATTCTCGCAAAGAATCACGGTTTTAGTAACGCAGTAACGCAGCGTTCCTACGGGAAAGTAACGGTAATCTAATTACCGTTTTTGCAATAGTAATCCCTTACTTTACTCGTTACTTGAAAAAAGTAATCAGATTACAGTAACGCGTTATGACACTACCTGTTTTGTTTTTTTATACTTGCCATGCCTAAACACTTGAATCGTGGACAGATTTTTTCCAAGAACCAGACACTGACCATTGGCAAAGCAAAGCAGTTCTTGAGTTTCTTTGGCATTTTAATGTCTAAGGGGTAGGATGTCTGTCACACACTCTGCTGTCTCAGTCTGAGCAAGCGTCTGCAGGGGGGATTATCACCCAGACTGGCAACTCAGGAGCTTTTCCTCCCCTCCTCTTCACTCCCCTCCCTCTGCTTCCATAGGAATTCAATTGGTAATTAGCCTCCAGGTGCTGATAATCAAAGGCACTTGTTTAACTGATCATCTGCAAGTGTGACCACCTCTATAAAAGGAAGAGATCTATCCGCTTGCTCATCTGGACCAAGGAGGAATGAATTTAGCAATGATCTAAGAGAAGCAATTGTTGTTGCCCTTCAATCAGGGAAGGGTTATAAAACTATTTCAGAATAACTGGATTTTTCACAAGTGGAAAACTGTTCAGACAGTTGCCAAACTTCCTAAGAGTGGATGTCCCAGCAAATGTACCCTGAGGTCAGACTGTGCAAGGGCAGAGAAATATTTTTTTAAAAAAAACAAAAAAAAAAAACAACTACATCTCAGACTCTTCAGGACTTAGCAAGTTCATAACAGTCCAACTAGAAGAAGACTTCAGGACTGTCATAAGAACAGTCATATCAGCAGAGCTTAGGTTTGCAAAGTTGCAGCTGAACAAACCACAAGACTTCTGTAACAAATTCCCCTGGACAGACAAATCAAAAGTGGAAATGTTTGGCTATAATGCACAGCACCATGTTTGGTCAAACATCCAGCATATCAACACAAACACCTCACACCAACTGTAAGGCACGGTGGTGGGGGCGTGATTATTTGGGCTTGTTTTGTACCTTGCAGGCATTGAGTCAACCATAAACTCCTCTGCGTACCAAACTATTCTAGATTCAAATGTGAAGCTATCTTTGAAGCTTGGCCCAAATTGGGTCATGCAACAATATAGCACAGCAGCAAAGCTACAGCAGAATGGCTGAAAAAGAAAACAGTAAACATGTTTCAGTGGCCCAGTCAAAGTCCAGACTTCAACATGATTGAAGTGCTGTGGTGAGACCTTAAGATAGCTGTGCAAAAATGAAAGCCCGCAGACCTCAACTGAACTGAAGTAGCACTGTAAAGAAGAGTGTCTAGAAACCTCCCACATTCATGTACGAGACTGATAAAGTCATACACTTTATCATACAAGTTATTGTTGCTAAAGGTGCCTCTACAAGCTACTGAATCATGGAGTGTACTTCTACTTCCACATTCCGTCTTCTGCATTTTTGGCTTTGTTTTTGTTAAATATGTAATGACACAAACAGCTTTCTGATTCTGCAGTTTGTTATCTGCAGTCTACATGATTAATATTGAGTTAGCAGCAGCCACACAGACACGCTATGTGTACGTGTATGTGACATTATTGGCATAGCGCACTTAACAGAAAATGATACATTTCTAGCTTGGACTGGAGACTGCTCTCATTTTGCTATTAGGAGTGGAGGATTTGTTGTGGCAGAACTTTGTATCATCATTATGACGGTTACAAAATCTGTGGAATGTTCTCATATGGCGGATATGTTTATGTTACCATGGTTTTGGATTGCATTTGGATAAATGCGCTTTGAGCATATTTTTTGTGAAGAAGTGTGTTTATTTATCGTCTGCACAACATGTTTCCCCACATGCATTTTTTTAAGATAATCATCAGAGGTTTGACATATCCACATGCGCGCATGTGTGTGTGCGTGCATGTGTTTGTATCAGTGTATCTGCGTGCTTGGCCAAAACATTGGGCTAAAGCCCTGAAGTCATATTTCATTCACTGTTATGCAAGTAAATAAGTAAGTAGCACACTGTGTCTGTCTCTGTTGACCAGTGTCTGTCTGCGCTGTGTTTTTAGCCGTAACTATGTGGAATCCTTTCCAACTCCAGCTCCCTCTCTAGTGTCTCCACTGAGGTGTTTACATGTTCACGTTGCTCCTGAATTAGAAAAGCAAAAATTTCACTCGTTTCATAGAGATTTGAACTCTTGTATGTTTTTTTTGTTTTTTTAATAAGCCTGCTTCTATTGCTGGAATTACTGCAGCTGAAAAATGACAGTTGTCAGATGTTAAGGAGTACAAGCCAGCTTAATTAGGACTGAAATTTTTAAATATAACTATGTTCACTCCATTACTACAACCTGCATTATGAACTGCATCAGAAGAAATAAAGTGAGAGTCGAGGTCAATATCAATTCATCTAGGTGATCTGGACTTAGAGGGTTTTCAGCCCACCTAATGTTTTGATTTAAATACTCTGTGCGCCAGTATTCGCATGTCTAATGGCAGTAGTCATTATGCAAGACTAAGGCCAAGTAAAGCAACAGCACCGCATGTTCTGTTGCAGAAACTTGCAGTGTGGTCTGGCTTTGAGTTTCTATAGACTGTGGGTGCACATTGTGAGGAGAAGTGCAGATAATGAAGAGGTTGTTTTGGTAACATGCTCATCCTGCAAGTAAAGTAAGGTTTTCTGGGGGCATGGTTTGCATGTAGCACCTTTCAGCACCCCCCAAGTCCTAAAGCCCAGATTCTCATTTCAGCGTAGCAGCCTCTGTGAGAGAGTGTGTGACCTTCTCTTTTCCTCACTTTCCCCTTCCTCCTCCTGGTGTCCTCCTCCTCCTCCTCTTTTTCCACTGGGCAGCTGGCCAGGTCCTGAGCAGCCTAAGCAGGGTAGCATTATTGGGTTTATGTGGTGGGCAGGCAGACAGGCAGAGGGAACCAGGCCAGATGGCTAACAAACAGCACCCACTAAGGTAAAATAGAGCTGTGTGTGTGTGTGTGCGTGCGTGCGTCAGATATAGTGCAGGAAATGTGGCTGCCAGACCGGTCTCTCTGAAACTGCTGGGCTAGTCACTGTGGTGCCAGTGAAGAGATGTACGGGGCTCCGTCACAGCTTGGCCTTCTCTCGCTTGATCTTGTTTTCTCTCACACTCGCGTCTCTTTCTGGCCAGCAGAAATGAAAGCTTATCATGTGCGTGTGTGTGCGTGTTTGTGTGTAAGGGAGAGACAGAGTGACCAGTGCAAATTATGTAATTCATCTCTCGGGGTTATTTTTTTTTCTTGTTGTTGTCAAAGCACTTTGCTGATGTTCTTTCACCCACATATAAACAAGCTTCGTCCCCTCCTCTATGGAATTGGGTTCACATTCCTAAACACAAACGTTGGAGTAGCTCTTGGCTAGTCATTAGTGAACCAACATGTAAACATAAGGAGAAAAATAAGGGGGGGAAACGTGTTTGAAAAGCTCCTTTTTCAGAATGCAAAGTCATTTAAGACAAATTAGTTTCAGGCTTCTTCAGTCAGAAACGTTCTTTTTGTCTTGGACGCTTTTGTTTCCCATCAGTGCAAACAGGATACATGAGAATGCCTCTTTAATTTTCTTCAGTTATTTTTTTTTTAATAATATGATGGGATGCTGGCTTAAACAGGCGTCATATCAGGGCTCAGGGCAGCTAATTAACATGGCTCCATGTGTAACTTCAGCCAGACGTTTGTTACGCTCTTCCAGCCTTCGGCTCTAGATGGCAACAGATCTGCTTGGCTTGTTCTTGAGCTCACTAGTTGGATCATCGTGGGCTCACAACTGCACTCTAACACTTGGTTCACGCATTCTGTTTGGCTAGACGTGGAGGAGCCAGAGACTGTCATCTGTGTACCTTGCTGTTCATGTTTCTTGAGCTTTCTCTTGATGCTTGAAAACACCAGCACTTCGCTTGCTCTACAAGAAATTCTCTCATCTCTCTCTCATCACCCAACAAGAAAGAGGGGGGGACAAAAAAACCCTAACCCAGTAGTTCCACTTTCCGTTTGTGCTGTGGCGCCGTCTGTGTTGTTTCAAATTTCAGGTGCTGCAAACCATTGTGCGTGACTCCATTGTGCCTATTTGGCCTTGATTACATCAGTCTGGCTGTGAATACTTTTCTTTTTTCCCCACTGAAGTGTAAATCAGTTTTTAAGGCTGAAAAGGACTCAATTGTCAAATGATTTCTTTGATAAGCTTTCCATGTACAAGCTAACTGCTCTTCCAACTGAATCTTACTTCAATTTTCTGTAGAAACAGAGGACTAAAGTTTTCAGTCCAGTCGATCCTCAAATATGATTCATGTTCTTACAATGAAAGTCTGAATGAAGTTGCTTTTAATTTCTCATGTTTACGTAGTTTCACAGTGACTTTCATTTCAAATACAAGTCGTGGTACACACACGTTTTCTTTTAGACTCCACAGGAAGCTGTAGGAACCCGCTGTACTCTAATCTGATCATCACTGAACAGCAGACACATACTGAATGGCAATATAGTATGCAAAGCAGCTCAATGGTCAGGTGACAGACAGCAAAAGCAGATAATCTTACCAAAACACCAGTAATGTTTGCCAATAAACTTCCACATCAACTTAAAAAGATAACGAAGCATCTGGGGTTTGGATTGACTAGTTTCTGTCATTCAGCAAAGCGTTTGTTCATCTATACAAAGCGTCGACCAGCTAATGTCTATTTTTTCGGGGCTAATCGAGGGCGCTCTGTGGGATTTGGTTCAGTGCTCTTGGAGGGCCGTTTAAACTCTCTGTTGCAGATCTTCCCCTAGCTTTCTCCACATAGAGTTTATGCTATAGACTGGTGTGAATGCAACTCCCTGAGCATGTTCTTTTGTACGCTTAAGCTTGGTTTTCTGTAAGCTTATGAGTGCTTCTGCCGTGTCTCATCCCCTCTGTGCGAGTACTCTTTGATCCTACTTCAGATGTTCCGTGAATTGAGTTGTATCATTTCATCGACCTCTCTTGTCTGAAGCAACCTTTTCCATTGTTTCACACCATTTTTTGCAGTTATTCTATGTTGTCTAATGTACTGCAGGTCTTTATTAACTCAACTGTGTATGAAAGAAAATACTTTTTTATGCTGTTGTGATGAGTTCAGTCATCTTCTGTGTTCAAGCTAAAGATGCTTGACCTTTACTCTGAGCTCACTTCACTTGTGTTTGCCTTTTTTTTCTTTTTGCCTTTTTTCTTTTTTTATGAACCAGCTTCAATTTATAGAAATTCATATTTAATATATAAAACCACTCGGCGAGTTACAACTAATCCAGATACTCTTTGTTGCCATTTATAGGAAGTATATCCATGCTTTCTCATATGACAGTATGGTTGGTTGTTTTTTGTGTGTCTGTTTTTGGGTTTTTTTTATTGGTTTTTATGCATTATGAGCAAAAACAACAACGTATTTATCTGTCTATCTGTACATAAGCTTTCTTGTACCTCTAATTGTGTCTCTAAATTCCACATTTCTTTTCTTACAGTTTTAAATAAAACTTAATAAAAGAGAAAAAACCCTTGGTGAAAAAGATTGTGTCTTGCTCTTTGCAGGCGGTCTGTGGAGTGTCTTCACATTGGGTGGAGCTGGCAGCAGAGCTGGGATAGACCAGGAACATGACCCTTTACCTTTGTCCAATCAGAGTCTTCTGTTACTGCTGGTATTAGCCAATCTGACAGATGGGCCTGAATGGCCCAACCCCTACCGCCAGGCTATTACTTGTTTCAGAAACACACAAGGTAATATGTACTAGATAAACAAGGCGTGTGTAACAAAGCATGCGAAAATCAGATTAGACGAACATATCAAGAAAAAAACAGATTTCATTATTTATCTTTTTATTTTCTACGAATCTCTGATTTGAAGAAGTCAAACTGTGTCTGTTCTTTGAATTATCGTGGTTTAGTAGTGACGCACATAGATACTCCGTCAGTTGTAGTGCGTTCGTAAATGATTAAACTTCTTATTTAAGACCTCCATTAGGTTTCTAAGAAACATCAGCCACAGTCTCCATGGAGTTATCCCTCCGAGCTAAAGATGGATTTATGGAGTTGTAAAAAACAAGATAACATGATAAAAATGTGTATTTTACGTAGTAGCTGTATATGTTCTGTGTTATTGTCATGTTGTTATTGAGATTCATATCAGTACGAAAGCTGGATAAATATTAACTGGTAACTTACGGTGAAGGGGTGGCATTAAAAAGGTGTGCTTTTCTTCCCACTGCTCTTTTTCAATATGTAAACTGAATCAGAACAGAGTGATATTGGAGTGCATTATTTTGGTTGTTTTGTTTTTTTCCTAAATGCTTTTCTCTGTATTGCTTATATTCCCAAAGTCAAGAGTGCTACGGCCCACTTCAAATCCTTAAAAATCTTAAACCTTCACTCTAAAGGGATGTATTTCCTTATTTCATTAAAAATTTTATTACTAACGCAGGTTAGTTGTTGTAAATTGCTGACAATTGGCAAAGTGTTAAGTCCAATGTGTTACCCACCTGCCACTGGGACACAAACTTCAGTACAAGAGATGTACATTTAGGTCAGAGTGAAAGTAATATCACAGACTAGCCGCCGCCTCTTAATAGTTTTTATATAAATATATAACTGCACATACTTACAAACAGAATTTTGGTTTTTACTGTTTTCGGTCTGCTTCTTTTTCTGCGCTGTGTCACATAATGTTTATGATGTTCCAAAACATATTTGGGACAGTTGTTTGTTTGAGATATGTGAAAGAAGGCAGTGAATACTAATCCTGATAATATTTACCATTGTCCATGCAGACACATCATCGCTGCCTGTAGAGCAACCTCACACTTTCCAGATCAATTTCAACAGTCTGTACACTGCTCTGTGTGAGCAGCAGCGCTCCGACCAGGCCACGTTACTGCTGTACACCCTGCTTCACCAGAATACCAACATGAGGACGTACGTGCTGTCGAGAACTGACATGGACAATCTGGTGGGTCGGATTGAAGTGAATCTGAATCTGACATTTTGGAAACAAATAACACACTTGCTTAATAAAACACATCATGCAGTCCTTCCACACACACATTCAGTACGGCCGTGAAGTTTCATCATTCAGGACCGATGCCGTGGCTCGGTGAACAGGCGAGATTAGTGCGGGGATTGCTGTTGATTTTCTGCGTGGGACCGTGCCAGCTGTTCCTTATAAGATAATAAATTCAAAGATATTTAGTGACTGGAAATCAATCTTTGGCATCTCAGATCAATTTACAAATGATTTAACATGGAGTAGTATAACTTTTTTTTTGCCTTGTTAGCTAAGACGAGGAACAAACCACAACAGAAGAACTCTATGAGGTTGTTTCCAAGACTTGTTTGGAAATCCTCATAAATTTAATCTTCAGTCACATTTTGAAACTCGTTCAGAAGTAGGGAGGCTACTATTGAGGCTAGGCTCTTTGCTCAACAATGAAGCAATGCTGCGTGACAGTGTAATGAGCTAACAGTGCTACTGCGTATGTTTATTGCTAACTGCTAACTTGTTTGCCTCTGGCACTATTAGTAAATTGGGTTAAATAGAATAATGTGAATAACCCCTTTTTGGAATGTGTATACATTATGTTTTATGGTAATTTTGAGCTGTTTAATGGCTTCTTTTCCAAGACTGTTTGGATTTTTGCTCAGTTTTGTATGTGTGGTTTGTCTCTGGTTAGATGATCCATGAAGAATAAGAAGTGTCACTAGAGTTGTTTTTCAGAGCTGTGGCTCACACCTCATCTGTTGGCCAGCTCAAAAGTAAAATGACTTAGTGCCGCCGTAGTCTTGAACATGTCCTTCTTATACAGCCATGGCATGAGGAATCCACACAAAGTCAGAAGCCTTGCAGATGTCAACCCTGAATACATGTTTGACTCCTTTTCTTTTCCCGCTGTTTGTCTCAGGTGTTGCCCATACTCGAGATCCTTTACCACGTAGAGGAAAGAAATTCTCATCACGTCTACATGGCCCTTATCATTCTCCTCATCCTGACAGAGGACGATGCTTTCAACCGCTCCATCCATGAGGTGGTAGGTAGACGCACTTCACGTCTCAGCTGTTAACCGTCTCTCTTGGTGGTAATAGTCAATGATTCCTGACGTTTTTCACCTGGTTCGTCTAACTTCTGTCTCTCTCCATCTCACAGATATTAAAGAACGTCACATGGTACACAGAGAGATCGCTAACAGAGATTTCTCTCGGCAGTTTGCTCATCCTGGTGGTGATTCGCACCATCCAGTTCAACATGACCCGGACAAGGGTAAAATTAACACACGGTGATGAAGACGTTTGTGCATTTGTGAAAGAGGCATATGTTACAGTCCTGTGCAAAAGACTTTTTTTTTTTTTTTGGAAAAAAAAAATTCAATTGATTTTTTTTTTTTTTAAATGAGACCCCTGTTCATCAAAGCAAATGAGAGAAAGAGCACAAGGATGTGACATTAATGAGGTGTTATACTGTGTACTTTGTATTTCAAATTGTTTCCCTTTGTGAAAATTGTCATGCAAAATGTTTCTCAGTCTAAATGTACTTTCCCTTTCTCTTGATGTCACATTTTACATAGTTGTGCATTCAGAGCTTAGCACATTATTCTCAGTCCCTGAAATGATTATTTGGTGCAGTTTCAATAGCTGACCTTACACTAACTTTTCATCTAATTCCCCAGTGCTGGGGGGGATTCAAGGAACCAGAGATCATAATGTCTTTACCCAAAATTAGGCTGTGGTTTACTGAAATATGTATTGCATCATTTTTTCTTACTGTCTGTCAATGCAAATTCAGTCCTAACACAAACCTGGTGTTCAGTGCATTCCCAGCTCAGATGATGTAGTGGGCAATAGTTTTCTAGTATTGGTATGTCATCCCAAATGCTGCTTCATATTAAATAAAAAAAAAAAACAGGCAGTCGTTTTCTATAAGAAGTTTAATCATTTGTTAATATTGTGAAATATATTTTGCTCTAATAAGACTTTATAAGACAGATATTATAGATACATTTTACTGAAACACGCTGCCAATTCAGTAAAATCATGCCTGACATACCAAAAGGTAGCTAACATCCAAAGGGCAAACCTTCAAGAAGCCTGAAGAGCTATAAATGAAGACTAGTTAACAAAATTCCAAGAAAACTTGCCTGAGGGGGTTCAGGATAAGGTTAATAAGAATAACAAATATTGACTTACAAGCTAATACAAATGTTTTATATAAAGTTTTTCCATGTATTCTTGCACATATTGCAGTAAATCGCTGCACTTATTTCCCATTTTCCTGGCAATACATGAAGCAGTCGGGGTGGGTTTAGACTTTTTCACAGTACTTATTATGTATTTCAACACACATGGCATTTGGCATGATTGGAGTGTTTGAGTTTAAAGCAATTTTCAGTTTGATCTTTATGCCAGTATTGTCTGCTTGCTTGTGTGTGCGTCTTCTCCAGGATAAATACCTGCACACCAACTGTCTCGCTGCACTCGCCAACATGTCAGCACAGTTTCGATGTCTCCACCAGTACGCTGCCCAGCGGATCATAAGGTAAGCAATTAACTAAGTAACTAAGGTGTACAAATAATAAAGCAAATGGGGCATGACAGATGATGAGATGTCTGTAGAATACCTGTATGAGATGGTTGAAAAGCAGAAAAAAAGCACGTTCGCACAACACTCAGTAATTTTTTTTTGCTGATTCATGTTGAGGCAGCACATAATATTTGTCATTATAGTAACTTGACAGTAGTTGCAGCAAAAGAGGCTAAAAAAATAGATTATTTAGTGAGTGGTAAGATTGTGCAAATGACATCGTTATATAAGAAGGGGGAAATTACGGTAAGGGGAAAGTGTTTGGCCCATGTGGAGACAGAAGAAGAGGATGGGGTCCAAACCACACACACAGATACAGATATCAAGTCATTCTTGTCTGTTAACTGCAGACAACAGGAAGGGAATGTTTCCTTCCCTTAAGACGTGCACAGACTCACGCACACTCAAAGATCGTCTTATCTCCCTGCCTGTGTCTCTATCCATATCTGTGACTTTGGTGTTTTGAGTCAGAGAGGAACAGCGTCTCTGTATTTCTACGTGTCTGTCCAGAAGTGATGTAGAAGAACCGACTCCATGTCTGATGATAATGATAATGGTGATGACTGCGATGGCTCGGGCTGGGCTAAACTGGCTGGCTGCTAGATAAAGGGAATTTCCTGCCAGGAATTTCCTAATGTCAGAGTGGCAGCGCTGAACTCTGCTCCATAATTGACTCTCTGAGAGAATCGCGGCTGGTGCTGTTTATTTTAAGGCGGCAGTGGGTTGATTTGCCCTAACCACAACCCCCACACATCTTTCCTTACTAATTTAACGTTTTCCTTGCTCTCCATCAATATTTCCTTTCTGCCAAATTGTTCCTCTATCCCTGCTCGTGTGTCGGCAGACTCAACAAATGCAATTTAGGTCACTGTGATGCTGCAGGTAATGATCATCTTCAATCTGCCAGTTGTTTTATAATATTAATCAATTCATTGTTTCGTTTATTAAAAAAATGTATACATGAGATTTAATATTCACATATAAGAAGCTGGAATTGTGTCTAAATAAACCAGTACAGCTAAATTTGTTGTCATTTTAAAAGCGATCCACGCTCATTTTATTCATATTTTAAATTTGGGGGAAAGGTTTTACTTTTGTCTCTGGTGTGAAAGGTTTGTGGATTGTTATGCAACAAGGTGTGTGCCAGAATGTAACAGAATTTTACAGAGCATTGTGTTCTGCCTTCTGGTTGGCTGTAGACCATTGTCAGTCAATCTCGTGACGTGTCTTCTGTTCAGTACAGAATGCGTTCAGCTTGTCAAATTTACATAAGTCTTCCATTGCTAGCCGAAAACATTTTGCACCGTCAAAGGCAACCGCGGGTGCCTTTGGTTTCATTCTATGATACTGGACTTATTTTTCTATGAAGGTTTAAACGTGTGGAAAAGTGTGTTCGAGCCTGTCGGAGAAAAGTGTATAAAGTGTGTAGTGATGGGTTTTACAGCCATAAAACATTTATAATAACTGTAAAAAATAAAGTTGGCTACTTTGTGGATTTCACCTATCGCGGGTTATTTTTGGAACGTAACTATCGTGATAAACAAGGCACCACTGTATACCAAATGAGCATCATGTTGTATGAAATAAACAAGTGACTGAGACCATAAAGGCATGAGGAAAATGTTTACTGTGTTTATTTTGAAACCATATGAGCTGATTTTAATAAAGCCCTAAAATAAAATGGTGAAACTATAAATGAGCGTTCCTACATTTCAACTTTAGATTTAGAAAAGAATCCAAGCCTCCAGATGGGTATTTAAAATGAACGCTGTGTCATATATACAAATGTTTAATCACAATCGAGCACAGTGTGTGTCCATAACGAAACCTCTGCAGTGCTGGGAACAGGACGTCTTTAGGTCTTTAGTGTGTCTGTCATTACTTCGGCCTCATAACTGATTTGGGGATCATGCCAGTACTGTTGAAATCTTTTGTGTCACTGATGAGACAGGCCAGCTTGTGACAGTGTGTTATTGTGGGCACCGTCCCAGGTGGAGCTCACTCGGTGGTCTCTCGTTTAAAATGTGGTGGGAAACGAGCGTAGATAGTACAAGAGGTCCTTGAGTAGTTGTGGCTAATAGAGGCTTTGACTTTAGGTCTGAAGATGATAAGTAGACCTCCGTGTAGCTGCTCACATAGCTCTATTTCACCAATTATCCCGGATAATGAGTGCTAGGGGATTTAGAGTGTGAGCGTGCATGTGTGCGCTGTGCTGTGCTGACAGGTGGGTAGTTGTAGCTCCAAGGGCTTATCAGAGCTCTGTTTGTGCCTCTTTAGCTTGTTGATGTCATTGATTTTAATTTATTCAGATTTTTTTTTTTTTAAATCTTCTTGATTAACACACAAATTAAAGATTTAGCACCCCTGAGCACCCACAGAGGAGATTACAAAGTTGTAATTACAAGATAAGGTCACTAATACTTTTAATAACACTGATAATCAGCAGGATGCCTCTTAAAAAATGCATTTTAGAATATTGTCTCTTTTCAGCTATGAATGAGTTTACTGTTGCATGAGCAGAGCAGTAATGGTTACTCTCTGTGGGTCTGTGCATGCATTGACCCAAACTGTTACTACGCCCCAGGTGCAGTCAAGCAGACTGATGTTTGTCTGTGTCGTGCCATCATGCGGTCCCATAACAGCAGCGGTTTAGACAAACGCATAAAATAAGAGCCAGACATGTCAGGCTAAAAGGGGGACGACCATTTCCATGTAGAGATGTACACAAATAAAATGTCGCATTTAGAAAAGAAAACATGAGTTGCGGTTAAATGAATCTCCTGGTAGTTCCCTGATTATAGTGTCATTCCAAATGAAATAATATTCATTCATTTTGAAAGACTTCATTTACAAATCAAGCAGGTCTGCTTTTAAATTAATAAACTGTTCTGAATAGAAGTTTCTGTTCTTAGCAGAGGTAATGAAAGGTCATTGTTAAGTATAAAATGCCACTTGAGTTGTTTTGTTATTCATCTGTCACAGGCACACTCATTCCTTTTCCGTCTCTCTGTGTCTCCCCTGCAGTTTGTTTGCTTTGCTTTCCAAAAAGCACAACAAGGTTTTGGAGCAGGCAACACAGTCTCTGAGAGGCAGACAAGGAGAGAGCGCAGCGTTGCCAGACTATGTGAGTAAAACTTACAAACACAAACAGTCGGTCCCAGTCTGCACTAAGTTTAATCATATTTGCCAAATTATGTCTGTGCTTGGACTGTGAATAGTAATTAGATGTGGGCATCCGTGGCAGTTTAGCTGAGTTGATCGGTTTGCGTTTAAAGCAGCATATTTGCATCTTTTAGTTTTAAAAAACAGCTGATTTTTATTTTGTTTTTTTCAAGTCAATGATAAATAAGTCTTTCCAAAGGACGCAAGTTATCTATTTTTTAAAGAAATTTAGAAAATAGGCAATCACCGGTTGCTATGTAACTGTGTGTAGTCCTTAACTGGTTGGTGAGGGGATGCCGGTGGAAGTTGCTAAGTGAAACTGGTTGTAAAGAGTTATGCAGTGCTGCAGCAATAAAGAACATGTCAACGTGTCTGCAAACGCTTGGCGACTGCTTGCTAAGTGGTAGTGAAACTGTGAAAAGTGTGACACAAAATGGGGGCTGTTCATCTTCAAAGTAAAACTTGAATTTATTGAAACGTGGAACCAGGAACCAGGCAGAGAGCTTTTACTGCAGTGGTGAATATTCTCCTTAGACTGAGGGCTTAGCATGGATGCGCTAAACATCCATAAATCACTCCTGATGCCCATAAAACCAAAGGATGGCATTTCTTTTACTCTATGGTTGTTGCGCACATTAAAGGAACACAATAATAATATGTTAATTATTTCTTGGTTATTGCCCAAGCTAACTGTACGCTGGCTGTTTTAGCCTGCAGAGATGAGTGGTCCTCATTTTCTCATTTAAATCTTGGCAAGAAAGCAAATAAGTGTTAACAAATGTTGGACGGTTATGTTCTGATCAGTCCGATTAATCATCAAAATAACTCCACTGACCGTTTGATCCTAACATTCAATAATGGTGAAAAATGAGCATTATCATAGCCTTTGAGTTTTGATAATTAAGTTTTAAATGAATACAAACAAGAGCATTGGCTACTTCTACACTTGAGTTAGTTTTATTTGATGTATTTCTGTGTTCCAGGTTTTTTTTTTTTTTATTTATTTATTTTTTTGTCTAATTCCACCTGATGTTTTTGAGGCGTTGAACATTTATAAAACAACGTAGACACGACTGGTTAAAAATAAAGAATGATTTGGCATAATTCAGCACCATAAAGCAACTTTACAGTTTCTGTGGAACAAAGCGAAAAGAAAGGCAGTAACTAGCTAGCTAGTTATTTTGCACATTATTCTTTTGACAGAAAAACAACAAAACAGACAGTTTAAAAAAAAATTAAATATGGTATTGACTGACAGCAAATTTGTCTTTTTAAATATGTTGATATGACAGTCACACCTGACGAGAGCATTTTGTTGGCTATTGACAAACATATGTCGTCTGTATTTGCACGTAGACGCCGCTGCCCTCGGGTATGTTTGTCTGCCTTTCGGTCTGGCTGTCTCATTAGATTTGCTTGGTCCTAGATAAGCGTGCGTATGCAAACACATTTGTGTGTGTTTGTTAGTGCGAGTTTGGACAAGGTCCCCATAAATACCCTAAGGTGTTGAGGAAACATGAGCGTATGTGAGTGCTTCTTCAACCGTGTAGTGACTGTCTGATGAGGCCCCTTTACAAGCAGACATCTACAGTATGCAACACACATGTATAAAGCATAATTATCCACCCTTGTTTGGATGCCTCCTTCCTTCAGGATCTATTGTAATGCTCTTTTTTTTATTTACAAACATGCATAAGTGGACATTTTATATGACTGAAAATCAAATGGAAAAATAAAGAGATCGGTTTGCCACGATTGCATTTTCTTAAAAAAAGAAAAAAATTGTGAGTACAGCGGTTATATGAGAAAATGGCCTTAAAGTTAATATAATAGAAGCGAAAAATTCAAAAAAGTCAAAGACATGCTCATGCATGGGAGTACGAGGTCAAAAAATAAGCTCATCTACACAACAGCACTCTTTTGATAGAGACTCAATTTACTGCTCAAGGGTACATGGCAGATTTTCAGCTCGATTATTTAATGGGAATTTTGAATGAGTGTTTTCCTTGAAGTGTCTGACACATAGTCTGGGTCATAGACTTTAAAGACAGAACTGGTCAGCTTTTCTGATATTGTCGTTATCCTTGAGCTTAGACTATACTAACTGGCTGTGGCATTGGTTCCCATGTCTACTATCCACGTCTCCGTGTCCACACAGTGTGCTGTAACGAAAGGGAACATGTTGTATATTTGGACACACACACATATATACACACATAAGTCGAGTGAAATTTTGTCTTGAGCACAAGCTCGAACAAAACTACACAATTAGCCTTCCCCTTGTTTTGAGTGGTGAATATCTTAGTCATAGGTGTTTTTGAGCAGTGGAGGAGATTTGTTGGAAAGAAGGGCTTTCCAGCCTGCTGTTGTCTTACATCTCTCTTTCACCTTCAAGTAGCACAGGTGAAATTGAAAAGCAGATGTTTGACAATGTGTTTTCAGAAATTAAAGCAACTTTAGTAGCGTCTGTTTATTTATTTCTTCACATATTGCCATGTAACTTTGGATATGTGCCACACTGAGTATTGTCTACTTATCAGACGGAAGCTCCATGGGCTGTCTTTTGACAAACGCATGCCAACTAATAGTGTATGGCTTTCCATGTTCTTATTTTCAGACTCCTTGGCTTGTTGTTTCCCTCCAAAATGTTGGCATTTGTGAGTAAGATTTAAAGTGTTGGATTGAGTGTGCTATTGGGTCTTTTATTACCAAGCAAAAGGAAGGACATTCCCATCAGTCTATTCTCGTGCCTGTCGGTAAATGCTAGTATGCTAAACTAAAATGTTTAACATGGTCTGCATCATGCCAGCTTAGCTTGTTTACATGCTGAAGGTGGCATTTAGCTTAAAGCACTGTTGTACAGCCGTATAGAGCAGAAACAGAATAATGAGGGGTCTCTGAAATGTAAATATACTTTTAGGCTCTGCACTGCTAGAGCTTTTTTTTTATTGTTAATTCTCTTTGATTTGAGGTTGGCATAGATGGGGAGTTTAAAATGTAGACCCGATGAGCAGCAGTTTGCTGCTTGTTAGCAACTTGTTAATAAAATCTCAGAAAGTAGTCGCTGTAAGTAGCTGATTTTTGTCAGAGCAACACCTAAGCATCCCTAAGATACTCATTATGCCCAGGTTTAGGCTTCACATTGGTTTATGCAGAAAATAATATATGAAACTGACACAAAGCTGCTCTGAGGCCTTAAATTGTATATGAACAAGTATAAAGTATATCCATTTTTCTTTTAATAGTTTTAATGTTAAGTTGAAATTCCTTCCTAATTTTCCATGTCTGGCCACTTAACATGACCTTACACGCCAGCTAAAGCCCGTCATTGGTTTTGAGAGATGTGACATCTGAAGGAAGGGCTGCTGTCTCATTATGCCGGCTCCTTTGTTTCCTCCATCGCCGGCTCTCATCTGCTCCTGCGGTAGTAGCGGATGTGGCGGCGTAATTGAAAGCAGCCTGCCCTGGTGTTACTCACAAACCCTCGCCTTAACTTGGGGAGGTGTGGAGGCTGAGGTAGCTGTAAGGAGAGACAGAGGAGAGGAGAGAGCTGACGAGGGGAGGAGAGGGCCCTGGGGTGGGTTAAAGCGTGTTTTTGTGACAGGCATCTGGAAACAATGCAATTTGGCCGAGCCTGGCTGTGGAGAGAGAACTAATGTTTGTTTAATGTGGGATTGTCCTGGACGTATAATCGCTCTCTTTACGAGGGAGAGACCGAGAGGCGGATATGAAAACGTTGTCAAACTGCCCTAAGCTGAGAGTTAAAGCTGGGTGCAGTCTGCTTCTGTGTTAATGTCTCATCTTTCCCTCCGTCTCCTCTTCTGTACCCCCCTTCTCCCTGTAGATGTCTGCCTCTTGGTTGCTGTCTCTCTCTCTCTGGTATATACACACACAGAACATGCCCCCTGTCCCTGAATGTGTTTGCGCGGCTGCGTCTGGTTAGTATCAGGGAAGACAGAGCGAGGGGTTGGGGCCCTTGAGCCCCCACCCCCGGGGGGAACATCCAGAGGCTCCCAGACCAAGAAGGGCATCTCTCGTGGGATCCTATGGTTACCTCTGAGTCTGCATTTTTATTCTTATTTTCCTGTCTCATCCACTGAGATATGCCGAGGACATGCAGTTTGCGGTTGTACATGCAAACAAACATAAAAAGATGGAAGTATGTGTTGCATTGTTTGTCACTGTTTATGCTCCCAGCCAGTAATGGTAATGTTACTTCTCTGCCTCTTAGTCTGTTTACTGTTGCACATTTCTGGGAAAAGACTACAAGCGCGCGCACACACACACACACACACACACACACACACACACACACACACACACACATTTACATGCGCACAGACACTGCCAGGAGCATGGTGGACCACCCTGTCTATGTGTTTATGTGTCCTGGTTGAGTCACATTCTGTGATCTCTTTTTAATAGCTGGAGTAGACACATGCATTAGCTTTGTAGCACCATTCCTCTTGTTTAAGAGGAAAGCAGAGCCCGGGGATATATCAACAGATAATAAACATTATGCCTTCTGTTTATTATCAGGGCTTTCAGGAATGTGCGGATTTCTTAAGAAGCTACAAAATGATTTTTTTTTTGTGCAAAGTCCAGAATCATTCAGTGATGCAAGCTGTTAACTAGAAATTGTGCTTCTGAAGCGAGCTATTATACAGTCTGCGATGTTTATGTGAGTGAGTAGTTGTAATCAGTCAAGCAGCATTAATGTTTGTGCTGACAGTTATTGTTTAGTTTATTTGAAGTGGCCTCACTGCACATTTTCTTTTTTTATTCGCTTGTTTACGATGTTCTACTGCGTTAAGTGTGTTGTAGGCTGTTTGATGATTCAAACATAGTTCACGTGTAGATGGAAAAAGATTTGTAGCCCGAATGTAAACAAAGGGATGAAAATGTGTAGTTTCATATTTTAGGGTGTTACTTTAGTCAATTAGTATTCATAAACATTAATAT